TACTTTACCCATCACTGTGTATCCAAATATCGTCGGTACTATAAACAAACCATCATTTATCATTGAATTACTTCCTGTTTGTATATACCAGAAATGCTCCGCGCCAAGCAGAATATTTATTTTCTCATTAACGGGACTTGTATCCGAAAGTTCCAAACCCTTTTTAGTCATAAATTCTTTAATGTTTTGACATGTTGATGGCGCCTGGAATTCTATTGATGATATTAATTCTATCCCGATAGCTTCTACAACAAGGCAGCGATCATCGTTTTTATTTTTTATTTTTAGACTATATACATCAAATTCTTGCGAGTTACCGCGCTGATTTCCAAACGAATAAATTGTTAGAAATTCTTTTCTAATGACTTGCAATTCTAAATCGCGCGCTAACTTGTGGGTGATGAAGTTTCGTTCACTACCTGAATCAATTAATAATCTTACGATTCTCGATTTATTTTTGCTTTGAGCAATAACAGAACATGTCTGTAAAAGCACACTATTTTCAGGTTTTAGAGTATTACAGTGGGAAGTAGATACTAAAGTTTTATTTTGCGTATCTGCGGATTTAACATCTTCCATTTCTTTCGATTTCAAACGGCAGAAAAGTTTATTATGATTTTTCTCGTTACAATTTTCGCATGGTTGTATTTTTGACCTGCAATCCGATGACAAATGTGATTTTAGAAAGCATCTGTAACAACGACCTTCCCGTTTTTTAATTTGTTTCGTTTTTGTTCGTCGGAAAATTTCAAACATCCGGCAGATGTATGTTCGTTTGATTTGCAGAATATGCAAAACATTTTTACCGATGTGTTAAAAGCAGAAGCTTGTGATTTGACTTTATAATTTTTGAACCCTTGTTTAGGATTAACCCCTGTGTATTTATTACCTTTTGAGCTATTAATCAACATACTTGCTTCTCGGCATTCAGTTTCGATTTTAATGAACTCTATTAATTCACTTCAATTCGCTTCTATATTTTTTGGAATTCAATGTTTTGGTTAGATGTTCTTTTCCTATGGAATTCAAGAGCTAAATCTTCAGGTAACAATTTAAGAATTATTGGGTTCAATAACTGTCCATATGAACCGCTAGTAACATCTAAACTACTTAAATTTCTAACGCAGATTTGTAACTGATTATAGAGCTTTCTTAACTTAAAAACATTTGAAGAACTTTTAACTGGTTCTAACTGTAACAACATCTGCATGAATTTTGATATAATACATCTTTTCGACCAAACCTCTCTTTTAAACTTTTAATGCATAGATCACAATTTTCTTCAGATAAAGCATAACCAGAAACACAATTATATGCTGAACCAGATAATAAACTTTTCAAATATGTAAACTTATCTATTTTAGATAAACTTGGATTAGAATGAATAGCATTATCATACGAATTAAAGAATTCGAGCCATTTACTGGGATCACCAGCAAATTTTTCAATATTTAATTTAGGTAACTTTACTGAAGCACTACTTGTAACAACATTATTACCATTCAGAGTACTACTAATACCATTACTAGTTGTTGTAACTTCTTTCAACAACTTCATTACTGTTAATTTTCTTTACTTTACTAACAATCTTAGCTTTAAACGTTATAATTTTTTCATCATACTTTTGACATACAAGTAGTTCGTTATCATATTCTTTTTCATCAATTATGAGAGCATCGATCTTTGAGTCAAGACTTTTAAGTTTCTCATGGTATTCAATTAACAATTCATATGATGAATTTAGATCTTCTAGATGTTCTTTACTTAATTCTTCCGATAATAATTTCTCAAGTTTATTTAGAAGTGTAGTAACTTTACTACGTATAATAGCACGTTTCTTTTCAAAGATCGATACCAAGAACAAATAAATCAAAATTCTTACCTTTCAAAAGGTAATTCCCCTTTTCGCGGGTTTCAGACACCAAAAAATGTATGGCGTATCTTCATGAGCCATAATTTCAATTTAGATCGTTTCGTTTCAGGAGTCAAGGTTGGGAGAGCATTAGAATTTCAAATCAAAATTCAAGATTTCACAGAACACAGAAATAACATTTATTAACGATAAACTTAATGATATAGTATATTACTTCCGCCTATAGCGGCCATGAAAACATAATCAAGCATCAAAAGAGTATGACATGCGTCATTCTTCATGTTCAAGCGTCAAGTGGTAGTATTTTTCATCGGCGCGCATCAAGAGCGCCACATATCTACGGAAAAGACGGAACACAATTTTATATAAAAAAATAAAATAACAATAATTTTATTTCAATAACGTAACAGTAATTTTTAGTCTTGAAACATGATTTTTAGCCCAAAGGTGCTTTGTCCCTGAAGGACTAATGTTTTCGTTTTGCGATTTTACGTCAGAACCCTATAAACGGCGTTTCATTTTTCAGATCGCTGCCACCAAATACTATCACCCTGTATTATATGTAAAGAAATTAAATAATGAAGAATCTGCATAAATGTATGTATGTTTCTCGCATTGTGATAACTACGGTACTTAGAGCCATCCAATTTTGAATGACGTAATCCTACTGCGAATATGGACATCTGAAAACCTAAATTTGAAATTTGGAATTTAATTTGTTATCGATTTCATATTTTGTAAAACTTTAACGAATTTTTGATTAACAATCTCAACGATTTAAAAGCGAGCAATGGCAAAACTCTACGGGTTAAAAAAAAAACCTTTTATCTCCAGCGCGCGGAACTGTGTGGGAAATTCTAAAGATATGCTAATTTAAAAATTATTTTGCTGCACTGCTGTTCAACTGAATTTTATGGTTTAGGTGCAAAAAACATGATATTTAATAAATAAAGGTAACACACAAAAAGTTAAAAAAACGCTCATTTTTTATTTTTTACTCTGACTTATTTAAATGAAAATGCATTTAATTTATAATTAACATAATATCTAATTTAAAGCATTAAATACTTTTATAGCGTTACGTTATATATTTTTTAACCTTTCAAGTATAAAGGAGATACATAAAGTTCTCATGTTACTCTAAATCAGAGATTCTCAACTATTTTCATGTATTGACGTTCTTACATTTTTATATAATATAGATATATAGATCATATAACGTAATTTTAATATCTGTGAGAGACTGAGCAGAAATTAACATTCAGGCTTCTTGTCAAATGTAAAGGGTACATTTACATATTGAAAACATAATTGCCATCTGAGCATAACTCGTCTTAACGCCTTTCAATGACTGGCATGTGTGAAAGAACAGTCGGCACGAGTTGAAGATTTTGCTGTGGTTCATCACTTTTGTCTTCTTTTTCTTCCTATTTCTTGATTGTGTTTTTCAGTTTTACTTTTTTATATTGCACTTATTGTTTAAAAACCTGATATGTTTCTCAAAAATATTATTGATTGAAATATATTAAATACTTTCTGTGTATTTACCCCTTATATTTATTTTCTATTTTTTCTTCCATTCTCTATGAGGTAGATTCAGCTTTATTAATAAATTTTCTGTAATCAATGAGATCTTGATTATGTCAATCGTTTGCTGATACATATTCGCCTGGAGATCCCCAATCGACCCCTTGGCCATTACTTATCTCTTTTAAAATTTCATAGAACCACAGGTGGAGGGAAACCCCTGGTCTAAATTAATATTCATCTAGTATCCTAAAAAATGTTTCGCTGTTCCACCAGGGCCATATCTGTTGATAATACCTACTGATAAACCAAATTATGCTTTAAAACAGCTCTTTTGGATGAGAGATGAAATCTGAACCGTTCCATTTTTTAACATTTTTATACAGTGTTCTTTTTTTAATTAAATCAAGTGTAGTAGATGGAAAGATAATTATTTAAAGAAAAATGTAAATTAACACTAAACATGGAACATTAAATGATCTTCAGAAAATTAAGATTGTAGTCCCTAGGGCTACCACGTAGTAGTAATCTAAGGGTAAAGCTAAGATTTGAAAAATTTTGTAGGGTTTTACTTCGATCAAACCTTTTGAACAGTTGACTTTCCAACATAAAGCAAATTAATTAAAGAATGAATAAAAGTTAAGTTTCAAAGTTTAGTAAACAGCCACCGGGAGCTTAGACTGACTGCTTTCTCTGCCTTGTAATTCTGCTATCTACACTAGCCGATATACAAAAACTATTTGTTATAATGCTGCAATTACACAGGAGTATCAAACACTAAAATAGGCTTTGCTCATACTATAATTTATTTAGTTTGCTTTAAATTTGAGTGAGAAGCTTGTTAACTGTCCACAAGCTGATAGAATTTTAGTTTGTGTTAATTTCAATTTTTGAAACTGTCAGGTTCGGTGTTTAAATATTTTATTTTGGGCTTAATTTATTTATGATACTTTTAGTTGAGAAGTCAAACGTAACGAAAATTCGTAAGACAGTTTTTATTGTTATTGATTATGTGATTTAAATTTAATACCTTAACCATCCAATTCTAATGACGGTAAAAAAAGCCGCGAAAGTTCTAGTTTTCGAATTTCGAATCTTTCGCAAGATTTGAATGCCCCATATATAACCAGAAGACTAGAAGTAACGTTTTAGTTAGTGAACATTGTTAATTAACAATGTTCTGGATGTTCCGTTTCGTATGTTTCTCGAAATTAAATTATAAGGCAATTAACTAAAAATGCTAATCAAATTAACACTAATCTAAGTAATCAAAATAATTCTATTCGAAGTAATTTAAGTAATCAAAAAAATCCTATTCGAAGCGTACTCCCCCCCCTTTTTTTCCTAATATAACCTATTGCTTTTTTTCACAAACATATTCACTGTGAAATATAGAATATCAACACCGTCACCTTCACGCTCACTCCTGGTGTCATCACCCAAGTTGAGGCGGGAATTCGAAAATTCCTTGGCATTCAGCAGGCGCACCATGATGTAGCGGATGAGAGACTCATCGGCGCATAACGGCAGCAGTCCCTCCCCACACCTGTTGGAAAGAACCGAAGAAATTGACCCTGCCTATATAAGAGCACCTACTGTCGTGGAAGCGCCTTCGGTTTTGTGTATCTTCGCTGCATCGAACGAGCACAAGTGGAACGGGAAAGAGAGAGGGAGAGAAAAGCGGAATTCAGGATCCATGGGACGGTGTTTCTCATCTTCCATCTCAGCAAGCAGTTAAAAGACGTTCAACGACCGTTCTGGATGGCACGATTCGGGGGTCTCATCATCCTATTGCTGGCTTACACCGATCTTAGCCGAGCGCAGGCAAATAATGGTAAGGAATATTTTAACTTCCGGGCGGACTTATTAGTTAATTAAGTTTCTTTCGCTGTTGTTATGAAGTTTGATTATTATTAAAGAGCCTTTATTTTCTCCCTATTATTCGTGCTCTAATGAACTGTAATATTTAACAGGATTAATCAAATATAAAGTGTACAGTAGTTTGATGACTAATTGCTGCAAAATTCAGATTTTTATCGTTATTCAAAATGAGAGGTTTTTCAAATTCAAATAAACAATCAAAATAATTTTCAAAATTACTCTAAATTGATTTTTGATAAAAAAAAATTCCTGTAAATAATTACTTGAATATTAGCATTGAGTAATTGTTTTGAAAATTAATATTTTAAGTTTTGATTGGAGACAGTCTTTTATAAATATTCAATGGCAACTAATATAAAAGTTTCAAGTTTTTCTTTTCATATGAAATTTTATATTGCATCCATTCTCTTTTTTATTGCATATCAGCACTTATTAATACAACTTATTTAGTGCTTCTAATAGGTAAACTACTATCTAGACAAATGAACTGGTAACATTTATTACAATTAGGTTAGGAATTTTAAGTCTCAGTTATTCAGGCTGATGATAGTAATAACCGCAAAAACTTACGTTAAATTTATGCTAAATTTATATTTTTAAACCATTTTAAGTTTTATAGAATTTTGCAATTACGTGAGAAAACCCGAACTTTTTTTACTTCAGCTAAGTATTGTTAGATTAAACATTATTTTCATTCTTTTAATTCACTGGGAAATTTTTTATTTTGCCGTAAAGCTATAACTAGCTGCAATAATTTGTGTATGCAACTGTAAAATGCCTATTCTATACATTGTGAAGAATATTTTTTCTGAATAAGAGAAAATGTTGTCAGATAATCAAGTATTATGTAAATAACACTTATTATTTGAAACAATTATTTGTACCTAACTCACTATATCTTCCTATACTTCCAAAATCTTTTCTTATTAACATTTTAACAATGTGAAGAAATCTAATTTACTTCAGCTTACTTGTTAAAATTGGTATTTGAGTTTACGTTTTATTGCAAGAAATATTATTTAATTAAAATTTATTTTTATACCTTGGAACTGAAGCTGCTTCTTTAAAACATTTCTAATCATCATCTTCAGCTGCAGTTGAAGAAAGCAATAACTCTTAAATCACTAAATGCGTTCTCACTTAAATAAATCTAACTTCAGTTTACGTTTTATTTCAAGAAATATTATTTGATTAAAATTTATTTTTATACCGTAGAACTGAAGATCTTTCTTTAAAATCTTTCTAAGCATCATCTTCAGCTGCAATTGAAGAAAGCAATAGCTCTTAAATCATTAAATGCATTCTCACTTAATAAATCTAACGTCAATCATCGTTTATTTTTCTCAGAAACAATCTTCTGAGGTGTTTGATATTTCCAGTATACGGATTACATGTCATAGCAAAATAGAAAGCATTGCCATTTTTGCCATTTGGAGAAAATATTCGTTGTATAATAAATAATGAAAATAATGAAAACAAGTTTATTAAGTATTGATAAAAGCCATGATTGTGTTTCATAAATCTTTGCAAGCAGTTTCTTGTCCATACATACTTTGATACATCTGAAGATGTTAATTAAGATTAAAATTTCTATTAGAAACTTTGAAATAAGCGTTTATTGTTTTTTATCTTTATTGTGTGTTTTTATATGGAGGAGAGGAAGAGAATAAGAGAAAAAACTTATATTATACTGACTCTGAAATATTGCATATTGCAAATTATAATACTATGCGTATCAAATTATAATTATTATTCTAAGCTTAGAACAAATACACGAGAATCTGCAATTTTTTTCAGTTAGATTGATTAAACATTTACTGTATATTGAATTTATTTCAAAACTTTATTTTTAAAGCAAACGATAATTCAGCTTCCAGGGAATTTAACAAATACACAATACAGGAAAACTTCCTTGGAAGAGAAACACAGAATTTTATTTTCATTTTTGCCATAAACTTAGTGAGTTACTTTTGTATTCCTTTCGCATGAGGCGCTTTTTATTTTATTAGAATTCTATAATAAAGTCACATTATCTTTAATAGCTCTTCAAATATTTGAATTATTTATCATTGGATCATATGCATAGATACAAAGAAGCGAAACTGAATAGTTCATACAAAATTCAAGAAAACGACGTTCTATTTCTTAGTTATCAATAAACAACCCTTGTAAGTCTGTATATAACCCTTAGCATTTTATACAGTTGCTCGTTTCCTTCGTAAAACTTAATCTTTCGGAATACTGTTTCAGTGTTTGTTACGATTTTCAGAATCTGAAGGGAAAGTAGTCTGCAGGGGATGGTGTTACGTTTATTTGCTAAAAATTGCTTGACGATAATGGAGCTGTGTAACGTTGCATTGTCGTGTAGCAGAAAATGAGAAATTTTTTTTTCCTTTTTCAAGATATCCCACGACAATTTTGTGAGAAATTTCGTCATTGAAGTTAAGATCATCAGCTCTCATTCGCAAAGATAAGTGACGATTTTTCAGCGACAGCCGCTCTTGAGTTCATTATTGACATCTTCGCGTGTATCACGAAGTTGTCCTTCACTAATGAAAATCGTTAGTGTGTTAATGCTACATTCTGATGTACTCCATTCAAATATTTCCGTTGTGAAATGTTAGCCCTAAGGCTCTGGAACTGCTTTGTACGTACTTTTAAAGGGTTTTTTTTATATATGTTACATGTTTTACGTTAATACTTATTTGTACATATATGTTAACAAACGTATTTGTTAATTGATCAGTTTGCTGTCAATGGAAAGGCATGTTATCTACTTTCATAGTTATTTCCTCATTCTCTTACAGGCAAAAATATTGTTGAAACGCCATTCTTTACTACTTTGAGACAAGGAAATTAATTAGCGCGAATTAAAATTAATAGATAAAATTCTAAAAGCTTTGTTAATGTAACTGCCATTTCAAAATCTGCTTAAATAACTTCAACTATAAGTCAGCTTCAGTGGCAAGGGATTTTTCTTTCTGATCTTCCTTGTACAATGTCAAGGCTACTTCTGTTGTTTACCGCTGTCCCAGAGGTCCTTTTATGTCAGCTTTATTTTTAAAACTTAAAAGTGGTAATGGAGTTTGTATCTGGCGAAGAAAATTTCTCCTGGCGAAACAAGAAAGTGTTCTGTTCTTCGCAGCTAAGCGAAAGACAAAAATGTAACAATAGATTGCTCATTAATTTGATAACAACATTCTGTTTCTTAGTAATATTTTGATTCTTTTGATGGCAGCATGATAATTAACAGATTATTTATCTATTATGTTTTATGGTTTCCAAGCAATGAACTCATTATTATTTGAAAGCAGTGAATTTTTTGTGAAGATTCATGTTAGAAACGTTTATCATCTAATCTATCTATTTTTCACATCACATTGTGCTGTTTGCCGATTCCGCTAGTTGTCATTTCACTAAATCTGGAATTTATCTAATCAAATCTGAAACTAATCTTTCATGTTATAGTAATGCGTTGACTGCGGAAAATGGAACTATTCGAATTTACGTATTTCTTTTCTTAACATCTACACAGTTACGGAAGCTATTAAAAATTTCATAAAGCCTCTTAGTAAATACCTTAGCTACAAAATTTGTTTAAATATTTTCAGTCGTCTGTATCTAAAACAAAACCTGGTAATAATAACAGTTTTCCGACAAGTTTGACAAGTTTCAGAGTGCAATCATCTAAATATACGTTTCTCTTTACTTATTTTTAAAAATGTTAAAAAGTAAGACTTTAGTTACTAAATGTTAACAATACATTTATTCAAGCAAAGAAAAGAAATAATTATATTATTTCTATTTGTTTGCTTTTTAGTAAGTTCAGTTCACAGAATGTGGAATCTTCACGCTTCTTGTGCAATTTACATCTTTCCTGTGCAGTTAACACTATATATTTATCATTATAAAAATAGTTCAGTTTTTATTTTTTAATTCAGATATCAACATAATTTTCACGATTAATAATGTATTTTTTTAAATATAAAATATTCGGTTTGATTTTTTTGATGGATTCAAATAATTTGCATTGCCAGAATACCTATTATTGCTTTAGGCCGAAGAAGTTTTTTCTGTTCTTAAGCTAGAAAGAAAATTTAGAGAGGATCAATACAATTCGAGATTTCAGACCATTCTGGAATGAAAAATCGTTCGAAATCCGAACAATTTTCGAAATCCTGTTTTTAAACGGCAAAAAGATTAATTAAAATTCTCGCGTTTTGTCAGTTCAGTTACATAAATATTTTAATAGTTAAAAGCAATGCTCTGTTTTGAAGTTTTCTACCTGAGTATTAAGTTTTTCATTAATATTTGCTGTTTAAATTTTGTGCAAGCAAAGGAATTTGATAAAATTTCATCAAAATGTTATAATATTATTTTAACTATTTCAAAATAAAATACAGTTAAAAACTGATTTTCATGCAATCAGTTTTTATTTCAAATGAATATGATAATGATGCCCAAAATGGGAAATAATAGTTTATTATATAGCTAAACGGGAATAACAAATTAAATAATACCATTTATAGAATTCCTCTAGAATTTTATATAGTAAATGATAAAATCTTGGTATCTCATGGTAATTTGAAAAGATGATTGCTTATTCATTTGAAAACGCAACTAAATTAACACAGAATTAAAAAAGATAACGGCTTATACATTTGAAAATGCTGTTGAATTAATAAACTTCATTATTAAAGAGACAACCTAACTATCAATAATGAGCGAAATTGACGTGTACTTAAGGTCTATTTATTTTATAAAAGTCCATTAATTGTCAAAATGATTGTGGAACTTTTGAAGCGAAAGAGAAACAAGACAAGGCAGTCATGGTTACAGAGAGTCTTTACATGTTTAGACGAGACGAATTGAGGACGTATGCTTCAATCAAAATTAAATTTTTCATTTGATGCTGAAATATTATTATTTTTTAAAGACAGAAATTGCTTGAAAGCAACTTAATTGTAAAGAAAACTGTTTCAGTAATGTTGGTTTGAATCAATTGAGTATTTTTCTTTGCAAGCTGATCATCCTGTTCGTTCCGATAGAGTCCATAGTATCCAAGGGCTCCTGAAAAGCAAATATTTTTTGTCACTCTCTTTATGTTTATGGAAATTCAAGAAGTTCATTCGATTCAATGGAAACAACAAATTTAACATGAGCCCTTGAATTCTGTTTCATTGGATTTGTGATCAAAATTGCGCACTTTTTTGTTTTAAAGCAATCCATCTCTACATTATTAACTTTTATTGTTCTTAAATTTCCAATAGAATGTTATATATATATAATAAGATTGGGAATCATCTGTAGAGACATGAAGAGGGATGAAAATGAGCAATGCCCTCGCCGGGATTCGAACCACGGATCTCTCGAATACGAGCCGAGCTTGCTGACCACGAAGGCATGCTAAGAAGGCGGGAGAAATACCTTATATACTCTTCCTTTTAAAGGGCGACGGGGGATTAGGGGACCGAGTCAGCAAATCCTGTGGTGGAGAATCAGCATCCACCACCTTTTTTTTAGTTCGGGAGCCACTGTAGAGACATTAGATTATTTCCAAGCGGGAGAAAGGAAAAATGAGCAATGCCCTCGCCAAGATTCGAACCACGGGCCTCTAGAATACGCTCCGAGCATGCTGACCACTACATTACGAAGGCATGCTAAGAAGGCGGTAGAAATATCTTATACCGTTAATAGGCAAATCATAGCTATAAATCTATTAATTCTTTGAATATTCAGAATTAATTTGACTTGCGTCAGAGCCCTCAAGGTTTCTGGCTCAATATTGTTTTTTAATTCTTTACATAGACTAATACAGACACTATAAACGCTAAAGGATTTCTATAATTTGAAATATTTTGAACATATTTTTGTGATTCAAATTATTTTCTAGCATTAAATGTTTTCTATTATAATAGCATGTTACATTTTCGGACGTCTTGGGTAAAATTGATAATATTTAAAAAAAAAGGATCATTAACTGTTAACCGTTTCTCCTATAATAAAATTTCTTTCTACGTTACTACGTAGTCCACTGTTATTTCTTAAGTGAAGCATGAAGGCTACTGTGGTGGATTTTACAACTCCGGTTGTAGAGACATTAGGATTTTTTTTTTTTTTCGAATCCAGAGAGATGACAAATTAGCAACGCCTTCGCCGGGAATCGAACCGCGGACCTCTCAATCGCGCGCTGAGCGTGCAGACCACTACACCACGAAGGCTACACCGCGAATGTGGGAGAAATACCTTATACGGTAACTAATCTTAAGGCCTTTTTTTAAACCTTTCTAATGTACTAAGTGAAACTTCTGGTGTAGTTACAGATATTTGCAAGAAAAATCATTATAAAGTAAAAATAAGAGATTTAACTGCATTATTTAATATATAATGTATAATATCCTTGCGAAAAATAAGTCATATTAAGACACGACATAAAATTAAGAAAATGATAAAAATGGGAGCAAAATTGTATCTTTAGTTGTGGCTAAATTTAGATAGTAAAGGCAATAAAACTTTGTATCTTCATTTACTGTCTGAAAACGATTCTTTTTGCATTAATCCGCTAAAATGATCCATATGGCATCTAGAAGTACATTTGCTTGAGGTCTTTTACAATTTTTAACTTAAGATAATAATTATAACCCCAGTCCGTTAATCGAAAGTTTATAAAAACCTTAACCTACAATCATTACTTCCGAGTCTGTTATGTCCCGAAGATGGCGTTGCAATAATTTTTCTTTTATTGTTATTAATCTCTTTAATCAACCTATTTATATAACTTATTTAATGCCTATCGTAAGATAATTCTAACATACAGTTTCTTAAGCTATACAAATAAGGACTGTGAATATAAACTCCCGTTAACTCGTTATAGAACAATCCATTTGTTACTTACGTTTCGTAAAATGTAAAATACAACAAATCCAGAGAAAAACTCTTGAATGTTATTAATATTCTTTCGATTTTTAAATTTCACAAGTAAATAACTTAAAACATAGCATTTCGGAAGAACCAGGATGTTAAAATCTAGACTAGAGGAATGTAAAATTAATAGTTTTATATTTACTTACCGAACATTGATTCTGCCTTTCTATTCTGTGCTTGCTTAATTTTGTAATTCAAAACCTTGAAAATATTTTGGAATGTTAGCACTGTTATCCTAAATAAATGGCCTTTGGATTATTTCTTTAATATTTTCCTTAGGGCTTTCATGTTAAGAAATGAAAAACTTTTGAACAAATTTTAAGCAGCGCTTTCAAATCCGATCAAATTTCAAATCCCTTCTTGATACACAGTCATAAGTTTTTGAGTCATGATTTAATAACCATATTACTTATGATACTTTAAAGAAGGCATGATCAGGCTGCTGCTCTTTGGCTCGCTGACTTCTAAGAAATAATTATTTTTGTTTAATCCAATGATAGGAAGGATATGCAATGATATGAATAAAATATCGCCAAACTATGATCCCTTTCTTCAGTAATCAGTTATTCAGTTTTTAAGTATTCAGTATTCAGTTTTTGTGCATACAACAGTTTCAAAACAATTTTTAATGCGCTGTGGATGCTAATTGATAAAAGAATAAAAGAAAACTCAAATAATTCCATTTTGGGTTAATTGTTACTTCAGCAGTAATTTTTTGTTTTGTTGTTTTGTTTTGTTTTGTTTATGTTGGTCATCGGAACCGTAGAAAAGACAAATACATTGGCGACTCCCTGTCTCAATGACATATACCCAAAATCTTACTGAATGACACTAAAAATGTGTACAGTTCCGACGTACACAGGAAATAATCTAGATTGTATTTAGAATTGTTAAATGATTTAAAGTTAGGTGAGATGTGTTAGGATGCTTTTGTGATATTAGTTTTGTGTGAAAATAGTAAGCTATTATTCTTTAAGCAAGGATAAAGGCAAGCTCACTATTTATTTAAACTTATATTCGCCTTAACTGTAGAGATTCAAATCTCGGAGAACGGATAGGGCATGGGTACTCTTATTTTCGTGTTTTCCTTCATGCACAATGAGAATACGAGCTAGCATCCCTTAAAAAAGATCTCTACTAAAATACACCTTAGTCAGATACAAGCTTAATGTGCTTTTTATAGTCAAATAATGCATTGCAATCCACATTTCCCTGTTTCTCCACTGTTCACTCAAACTTCCCTATCCAGCTTAATAAAGTGGGTACACATTTGGAGCAAAGAAAAGTAATTGATTATATTTTTTAAAATTAATATATTATACTTTCGTCGAATTTAAAGCTTTTGCATTATTTTAAAGATTTTGGATTAGGATTATTTGGACTAAGGCAAAACACTCTACAGCTACTTACCTAACAGAGGACGAATACCTTAGTGAAGAACCTTGTGAATTCTTCAAAATCTGAATGCTGGTCCAATTACCAGCTTTGACTCATCTTACCATTCGATCATTGATGAATCCATTATTTTAAAGGCAGCTATGGTTTCTTTCGATTTCACTCTATGATTTTAAAATGTAATAACCCTAATCGAAAGAAACAAACAAATAAATAAATATTTGATTTTTTACAGGTAAAAATAAATTACTTAATACATTGATTTTTAAACAGCAAAATACTTACTGACATGAAATTTGGTCATCTCCTCCATAAAGACCAGAAAATAGTGATTATTTACTTTCAACAAAGTATATAGATAGAATAAATTAAGCGTATTTGGTCAGGATTTGAATATTTTATGATGATTTGATCGCAAAATCTCTCTACAGGCAATAATTTATTAATTTATGAATTTCGTCTTCCTGCTCGGCATTATGGTTGATAGGGCTGGTTACCATATAAATGGTCTTGAATTCGAGTCCCAGAGAAGTCATGAATGTTTGTAAGTGTAAAGTGTATTTGCGGCATGAAAGGACTCAATATACATTGCTGTATGGTGCGCCAGAAGTTCACTCTGAAAATTAGAACGGAGTTGGGCAAGGCCCATGTCAAAGACAGACGCAATTCTGCTCTCCTGCTGCCATGATGGGACTTATTCTGATATTGGTAACAGGAAAGTCATAACATCTATGAATTTCATTCTCTTTAGAAATGCCTATAAGAATAAAAATTGCAGTTAAGCTGCATGCGTAGGAATTTGTCTTTGAAGAACAATTTTTTTTATTTGTCGTTTGCATATGGTTCAAATGGATTTGTGGCGGAAAATATGTTTTTAGTGAACAACTTATTACAAATTGGAACACGACTTTTGAAACTATTTGCGTATGGAAAGACGCTTTCGAAGAGGATTATCTAAACCAAATAATACAAAAAATATTTGTGTTATACATAAAGAAAGATAAGGTTTCCGTAACTAATGTCATTGTGAGTAAATTTGTCTGAAATGTGGCTTAAAATATGTACGTTTTAAGGAATGCTAATATTTTCTAATATTTTTATTTATGATTGAGCAAGGATAAATAAAGAACAATAGAAAAATGTATTACAAAGTAATAAAACCTAAACAAAACACAACGGTTTTTCATAACCTAAATTAAGAACTCAATAACGTTTTTGCTAATTTTTAGAACATGATTCCAGTTACAGAATTCTGTAATATAAAGCTTTGAAGTTACTATTTTGCTATTTACAAAAACTTATCTTGTAAAAAATTTCTTTTTTGTGTTTCATATCCAATTCGATCTCTTGAAAATTTAAGGAAATATGACAGATAAATCAAAAATTAATATTTACTCCTAAAATCATCAAATTTTATTTTTTAAATCTTTATTTAATTAAAAATCATTTCAGTATCTTTTAATTTTGAGTCAGAAAGTGCATACAATAAAAATAAAAAATACTTTGTCAGATGAAATATATCATAAAAAGTTTTTAATTTTTTTTCTCTTTTCCTTTGGAAAACATTCAGTGTCAGAAAGCGCGAGAAATTAAATTTTCTCGCAGTAGCAAAATAAAAGTTATTAACCTGATACATGGGGATAATATCGAACTATAAATTAGCAGCAACAAAAAGACCTTGTAATATGTTTCATTTATTAATTTTATTAAACTAAAAGACTACCTTATGACTATTCCTTAAAAATTAATGAAACGTTAAAATTATTTTCATTTAATAATTTTGAACTTCATTCATAGATAATACATATTTTTGGACTATGTTTTTATTTTAATTTTTCAAAAAAAAAATTCATCTCAATGAAAATTACTATTGAAAGGGCCACCAAAAATAACACTTAAGAGGAATTCCAATATATTCGATCACAGAGATCATTGTCTGCAATTGATAATCAATAAGATGCCGTGTGGTTCACAGTGAATTAACGATTTCTAGGGCCATTATTTAATTTTTTTCTCTTCGATTTCTACAAAATTCTCTTAACAATTTTAAATTAATTTTTATTGCGAGAAAATAGATATATATCTAAATAAATTATGTGTAGGTAATTATTATTGTTTCAAGCTGCATTTCTAAATCAAATGTACTGAGACACCTATAGAGTCAGCATATACTCTAATTGGCTCTGTTATTACAGAGTTAGGTGGTACTGCTGTACATGCATTATTAAAGAATACCATAAATTAGTATATACTTCAAACACATGCAGTTACCATAAATGATTATAGGGGTGTATGGCTGTGTACGTGAATGGTACAATCATCGTATTTGTTATTTTTGGTGCAGTGAATTACATCACCTATTTACTACGTACTTTTTGTTAAATAATTTTATGCAGTTGTATACATTTGTAAGGAATAAAGTCGTTGCTGTCATGTTCTGCTGCGTAACTGCTATGAAATCGAATCAGTTTTCGATAATCTCTTGTTTGACTCCAAGTGACGTAATAGTAAACTTTCCAAAATTTCTGTCTGCAAACTTCCTTTTTTGTTGTTTTAGTTCTATAATACAAATTTTCGTAACATTTTTATGTTTAAATGTGCAGGCTATGATTTCATGTGCTGTAGTTTGGATGTATGTAAGACACATTTTCAATTTAACGATATTTTTTAATTAAATTGTGTTTATAAAGATTCAGTTCTGTGTAAATCAACATTGATCTGTAGATTAATTTTAGGTAAAGCGAAACTCGTTAGAATTTGATTATGCACCTATAGTCGTTCAGTGATTATGCACCTATTACTCCCAATTAAAGGAAGTGCATTAACCGACTTACACATTATCTGAGCTCTATTTTAAAAGATTTAAGTTTATTTATTGGGATACAACGGAAATGTCACTCTCACAAACCTTCAGCGTAAAACAAACGTGTTTATTGAAAATAAAAATGAAAAATTACATGAGAGTGTAGATAAGGTCATAGTATTTCGGAGATGTTTTATCCGAACAGTACGTAATTTAACTGCACGTAAAGCGAAATATGCAGACACAGAACAAGAAAACAATAAGTAGTTCTAATCAAGTTTTACCCAAGTTTCAACTTGATGACACTTATTCAAATTTTCCTAGTTTAAGTAAAACTTGTTCAAGTTTTATTGTAAATATTGTTCTTTTATGCCATTTTTAAATTAGTTTATTCATTTCTAATAATGTTTGTTCTTCCACTACTTTTGGTGTGTCTTTTATGCTTGTCTTCTTCTAAATACTGATTTAATTTGAGCAACCAAGTGGACTGGAAAATAGAGGTAAATTATTAATAGTATTTTTCTGTTAATTATAATAAAGTCCTTCCTCTTTTCTATATTTTGAGATTTTGAGCTAATCACGAATGACATCTCTGTTAAATCGTTAAGTTGATTATATCATCTCTCAAAAGCTTTGAAACTAGAACTGAAACATCTATTTTTATAAATCAAAGATAATACTACGGACTGAACTACTGTACATATAACACCTGGCAGGCTTTTCAACAGTATTTGATATAACTCTTATTTTTCAAAACACGCTACCTTCACTGTTACTCTCTAATTTTTAAGAAAGAACTTGAATCTTTTTTCTACGCCAGGACAATGTCCTTATATCTAGCAACCATGAATGACGTGGATTAACCAAAAAGCAATACAACTGTCCATCCCGTTAATGACGGACACAATGGATGAAATTAGAACTTTTTCTTGTTCTGTGACCGGAATAAACAATAGTATTCGTACCTTGAACTGCTTCGCCTTTCATCTTGAAACGTGCCTTGACTGACAATGCCACTTTCGTCTTCACAAACAAATCAATTCTTTCTTTATTTTTCTCGATTAAGATCATATAGCCAGGTATTCGTTTATTTTCGACGGTCAGCAGGAAAAGTATGATCGTTAAAGGAAAGTTAGATCATTGGGTATTTTTAACCGGGATCACTTATATAATAATTAGATTTATTTGGTGTTGGTTTGATAAAGAAATGAAAAACGAACAATGTTTCGACCTCGAAAACCTAATAATTAAGTAATCTTATTTGAGTAAAAGAATATTCTTTTATATCGGGTTGCCATATATAAAATTATATGAATATAAGTACAATATTCAGCACATTCTCACTCAATTTCTAACTTCAGAAAACCTTTTTTCATAAATTAAGTTAACTGCACTTTTTATTCACTCTATGCACTATTTACTCACTTCTATTATATTATTTACTGACTTCTATAAAATGCATTCCAAAAATATAAAAGTTACTTATTGTTATAATAATTGTGATCACATTCTGAACTTACAAAAAAGATGCTTTTGGTTACACGAAGATTTTAGGCTAAATTTAAACTAATGATTCGAAACTGGATTAATTAGCCATCGATAAATATTTATCATTCTGTAATGTATTTATTTCGCTTCTTATCTATTTATAAATAATGTTCATGATTTACACATTAATTTTCCTGGAAAATGATTGTTCGTTTATAATTTAGAGGAGATACTCTTTTAAGAAAATGTAATCAAAAAATCTTCTGTTCCAGGCTTCCATTTCCAAGAATCTTCTGCTTTGTCTTATACAGCAGTTAAGTTCGTTAAAATTTCCTAGCATACACATTAAATTTTTATCTATAGTTTATGAATCTATTGTTAACAATTTCTCTTTCCAAAAATTTTCGACTATAGGTTTTAGCAATATTTCACCGTTTTTCGTTGTCTTTTTTCAAAACGTTTTATAATTAATTTTTCACACTGTTCATTATATTGCTACTTTTTTAAATAAAGATCCTTTTTAAGTAAAGATACCACTGATAATATCGAAACGCAATTTTTAGTACAGGTAATAATAGTAATTGTAAAACAAACTTTACTCTTACTGGTGCCGTTCTCAGTTAAGTGCAGGTTTTTAATTGTTCCTTCAAAATGCAGAAATCGAATAATTGAACAAATTAAAAACATGCCCATAAATGAATAAAATGTTTTGAGCTTCATAAACACATACAGTTTTGTGTTTATGCATGCTAAAAGCAATGTTTTAGTTTATAAAATCTAAAAATAGACTTCTCTATTCAGTAGTTAAATTATGTATGATCATCTTGCTGGTGATTTCGAAAGTGAAGTAAGTGATAGTTTATCAAATTTATTCATTTTATTATTTATAACAAAATT